GTGAAATGACTTGGAGAACACTTACAGTGTATGCTATGGATTGTATTCCAACACACGCAGTATCGATTCTAAACTGCTGTATTTGTGAATGTAGTCCCATTTGAGAATACGAGTTTCTTTGTTACATTAAGGAAACTCTAATATACTGTGTTTCTTTATCCAATCAATTAGGAGAGATTAAAAAAACCCCAGATTAGGCACAGAGAAGGAAGCACAGATGATTAGGTGTTCACTCACAGATGCTTCTATGTAATGTTCCCAACCCTCAAAGACAAAGCTTGGGTTAATAAAGAAAAGCACCTCATTGTAAACTGGGAATGACTCATATTTCTGTTCAAGCAACACTGTTAGGGGCCATTGCATTGGCTACAACTCATAGCAACCCTCTGAACAGCAGATCTGCCCTGCCTGGTGCCATCCTCACTATCTCTGATAGGCTCCAGCCCATTATTAGTCACCATGCCAATCCATCTTGTTGAAGGACTTCCTCTGTTTCTCTGGCCCTTCACCTTTCTCAGGATGATGTCTTTTCCCAAAGACTAGAAACTAAGAAACTAAGAGTATACTTCCAGTTATGTGTATTCAAAACCAGATAAAACAGAACCATGCCTTATTTGTTATAGACAAACATACACATGTAATAAAAACTATAAGGACATGCAAGGGAAAATTAACACACAGTTCTGTAGTGTTTAGCTCTTGGAGGTGGACAAAAGAAGATGGTGGGTGGCCAAAGGGTATGGAAAACTTGTTTCTGTGGAAGAGTGGCTACCACATAGATTTTCATTTCATTTGTAGACAATGGAGAAGGATGACAGAATTGATGCCTTTGAGTTGTGATGTTGGAGAAGAGTATTAAACATACCATGGACTGCCAAGAAAATAAATAGGTTGTCTTGGAGAGAGTGAAACCAAGTTTCTCATTAGAGGCTAGGATTTTGAAGCTCCGTCTCATATTTTGGGCATGTGGCCAGGAGGGACCAATCCTTCGAGAAGCACATCATACTTGGAAGGGCGGAATGACAACACAGGAGAGGAAGACCCCGGATGTAACTGATTGGTATAGTAACTAGGGCAATGGGAGTAGGTGTGTCAGAATCAGTGAGACTAGCTCAGGACAAGGCAGGGTTCAGAATGGCTGTACGTAGGGTCATTATGAGTCATAGGCAACTAGACAGCACATCACAATAACAACAGCAACAACAACATATAATAAACTGTCATGTGGACTATAGTGCACAATTTTCAAAAATTATTTTTTTAAAAGGTAGTATTTCTAAATTCTTTGAAAGGAGAGGACAGTCCATTCTTTTAGCCAGGTTGCTTTTGCTTTTCTTCAAAAATCACTTCAAATATACATTGGGAAGTCTTCTCTGACTCCCAGGCTGATACACTTTATATGGAAATTTTTAAACATACACAGAAATAGAAAGAATAATATAGTGAACTATCATGGAAATGTCATCCTGCTCTGACACTGATCAATATGCATCCAATTATGTTCCCTCAATACCTGATACATAGTTCTCCCCTAAACATGGACTATTTGAAAGCAAATCTTGGACATCATGTTGTTGTTATTGTTGTTGTTGTTATGTGCCATCGAGTCAACTCTGACTCATAGTTACCCTATGCACAATGGCTCTGAACCCTGCTCTATCCTGAGCCAATCCATCTCATTGTCTCTGACAGACATACCCTCATTATCCCAGTTATTGTATCAATCCATCTCATCCAGGCTCTTCCTTTCCTGCACCATACCCCTTCCAAGTATGATATCCGTCTCAAAAGACTAATCCCTCCTGGCTACTGGCCCAAAGTACGTGAGACAGAATCTCAAAATCCTTGCTTCTAAGGAGTTGCTTGATTTCACCTTCTCCTGGACAGACCTGTTAGTTCTCTTGGCAGTCCATGGTACGTTCAAACTCTTCCCCAGCACCACAACTTAAAGACATCGATTCTTCTTCTGTCATCCTTAGACATTATCCAGCTCTGTGAAGCAGAGCAAGTAATTGCAAAGGCCGTGGCCTGGATCAGGCACACCTTGGTCTCTAGATTGACATCTTTGCTCTTCAGCACTCTGGAGAGATCCCTGACAGTAGATTTTCCTTATGCAATTTGTCTCTTTACTTTCTGAGTGTTGATTGTGGAACTAAGCAAGCAGAAATTATTGACAATTTCAGTCCACTCCATATGTAAATATTTCAGTGAAGTCTTCTTAAGCAAAAAGCTACTACCCAATATCATTTTCAACTTAGAAAATTTAACAATGACTCCTTTAAAGTAAACATCTGTGTGCTGTTTAACTTTCCTCTTACAGGTTTATTACAGTGTCTTACAGTTTTCCATTTGCTCCAATCAGGATTAGAACTGTGTACCTTTGGGTTGGCAGCACAACTCCTTACAATTGAGCTACCAGAATGGTTCAAATCCACCAGTTGCACAACAAGAGAAAGAGGAATACTCTTTCTGTATGACTTACAGCCTCTGAAAACCTCATGGAGGGTCAGCTGAGTCAGTTACAACTTGACGGTATATAACAACCCAAAGGCCACGCTTCTCTAGTAGTTCGAATCCACCAGTTGCTCCATGGAAGAAAGATGGGCAATCTCCTCCCATGCAATTAACAGCCTCAGAAACCCAATGGAATGTCAGTTGTGAGTTGGTTCTGACTCAGTGCCACTGGAATTTTTTTCCCCAACCCTTCTTGTTGGGCAAATATAAATAAAAGAAAAATCTCCTCCCAGTCCAGAAAACTTTTTTGTCGAAATACAAAAGAAAGGCAAGCTTTCATATTTGGTAAACATTAAACCAAAATATGATGTATCACAGGCGATTTCCTATGCAAAGAAGGAAGATATTTGACCCTTTATTTAGTTAAGTGCATATAACTCATTATGTTCATGTTCTCAGAGAAAATTGCTAATTTTCTGGTATCTTCATTGCAGGATACCTGAAGCTATGCTAATCTTCTTCCTGGAAACTGGGAGGTAAAGGTGTGATCTTCCTTGATGAGTACATTTTAAAGATCATTACCAGGTCTTTCAGGAAACATCCTTGATTTACATACTTTTTAAAGAGACAGAGAAAGAATTTACAAGTGACTTAAATTCTGAAAGAACAGGGAGGAAGAGAGCCTCTTCTTTTATTTTCAATAAGGAGATTGAAAACCTCTGTTACTTTCTGCATTTGTTTTTCCAGCCTCATAAGAACCAAAACTTTGTTTTATTTCATGCTGTACCCTTTGTGCTTTATAGAGCGGTTAGCACATCTTGTTATCAAGATGACTCTGGCTCATACAGACTCTATACGATAGACTAGAACGGTCCCATAGGAATTTTACTGCTGATGTCTTGCATATCTTGGCTAAAAGCAGAGAATTCCAGAAAGATAGTTTTCTTTGTTTTGTTGTCTATGCAAAGTGATTCAACTGTGTGTGGACCATAACAAATTGTGACTGATATTGTGGAGAATTGAGTGTTTCAGAACACTTCATTTTGCTCATGTGCAACCTGTATACAGAGCAAAGGGATTTTGCATAGTTTAAAATCAAGAAAGCTGGGTGCAGCGGCACAAAGGTTGTTTCCTTTCTCCACTTCTTCAATCTATATGCTGAGCAAATAGTCCAGAGCATTAGGATTGGCAGAAGATTCAACAGCCTATGATCTGCAGACAACACAGCCTTGCTTATTAAAAGTAAAGTGGATTTGGAGCATTTACTGCAGAAGATCAAAGACTACAGCCTTCAGTCTGGATTATGTCTCTGGATAAAGAAAACAAAATTCCTCACCACCAGGCCAAAAGGCAACATCATGATAAATGGAGCAAAGATTAAAGTTGTCAAGGATTTCATTTTACTTGGATCCACAATCAACAGTCATGGAAGCAGCAGTTGAGAAATGAGAAGATAAATTGCACTGGGAAAACCGGCTGCCAAAGACCTCTTTGTTTCAGAGTCTGGAATCACAGGCACTTGGTGTAGAGGCAGCAGTCTAAACACATAGCCTAGATTCCATTTTTTAAATTTTAGATTTAATTTTTAAAGTCTTAAAAACAGTCTTCAATCCATGTTGGATTTTATGTTTGGGCTAACGTGGCCGTATACCCTAAGACTACATTTCCTTTTTTGCTGAGGTCTTATAGGTGTAGAATAACACAATCTACTACGAAGGGTATTTTCTATTATAATCAAACTATAATACAAGATGAAGGAGCTCTGGTGACTTAGTGATAAGGAGTTGGGCTGTCAACCCAGAGACATTGAGTTCTAATCCTCCAGTCGTTCTGTGGGAGAATGATGAGCAATCTCTTCCCATGTAATTTACAGCCTCTGAAAACCCACTGTTATGAGTTGCTTCCAACTCATTGGTACATAACAACAACAACAACAACAACAACATAATGCAAGATGTGATAGTTTGTGCCTGAAAGGTCTTGATACATCTCATTATGTATAGATCTTTGCAATGGACCCCTAGTAACAGACTTGATTGAGAAACCAATTTTATTAATGAACTACCAGGAAAAAGAAAGTCTTGTCATCATCGTAGGACCATATGTAATAAATAACATGTGCTTTTTACCATTTATGTGCTATGGATCTATGGTTGCCAAATTATCTTCTTTTAGCTCACTGCCTTTAACTATAGGGAGCTCTGGTGGCCTAGTGGGTAGGGAATTGCTCTGCCAGCCCAAATGCAGGTGGTTCAAATCTACCATTTGCTCCGAAGATGATCAATTTCCTCCCATTCAGTATACAGCCTCTGAAAACCTGCTAGAGGGCGGGCTATGAATGGTTTTCTCCTCAACAGTAATGAGTGAATGAGTGAGTGATTGAGCCTTTAATCCTTCTGGGTTTTTCTTTTTCATCAGTGATTATTTTTGTAACTTATATTTCGCACTCTAACAGTTTAAGAATGTATACTTTCGGTCTTCGCGCCCGGCCCTTCTCTCTCCTTCCGCTCTTTCTACGGAGGTGGCTGTCATCTCCCACTGGCATAATGGCTGCCCTCAGACCCCTGGTGAAGCCAAAGATCATCAAAAAGAGGACCAAGAAATTCATCCGCCACCAGTCAGACCGTTATGTCAAAATTAAGCGTAATTGGCGCAAGCCCAGAGGCATCGACAACAGGGTTTGGAGAAGATTTTTTTTTTCTTTCTTATCCTCATTTTATTTGCATTAAGTATGATCAAGTCTCTCATCTTAAGTTCTTTTTTTATTTTTTTTGTTTGTTCTTTTTTTTCTATATTTTATTAATTTTCATAAACATTTACAGAGATTTTGGGTTTCCATCCATTCATTGTTGCACTATTCTCTCTACCCTCCTCCCAGTTTGTTCTTGTCCAAATGCCACAGTGCTTGTCAAAGCCAGTTCTGATTAATCTTCTTTGTCAGTGTGTCCTTTGCCATTCCCTATCACTCCTCCCTGAGAGAGACTTCACCCTGAGTCATAAGGAAAAGGGGATGGCGTATTCTCTTAGCTACTTCCTGCTGAAAAGGGACGCTGTGGGTTTCAGGGTGAAGATCTTCTCTCACTACTCTAAAGGGCCCCTTTGGCAGTAGGAAACACATAGACTATTATGGAGATTGATTTTGGAATTCAGATGCACTCTTATTGATTGTGCTTGGCTGTACATGTACATATTCTTGAAGATGTATCATGGGGGTGTTGCAACCTAGAAGACACAAATTTGACTAACAAGTTATAAGTACATAAGTCCAAAAATTATGGAAAAGTAAAAGAAAAGATTCTTTCATTGTTTTACAAACCCTCCCCCAGGTCCCCTCCACCATGTGGCCCTCGCTCTAGTCTCCTGTGATGACAGAAATACCTAGTTATATATCTCTTTTAAACAGTTTTCTCCCTCCTCTGTTTCAGTGCAGTATACATTATTGAACCCATCTTACTGAGTCTCTCCCCAACCCCAAGGACAGTCCCATTCTACAACAGTGGCATCATGTAATATTTGTCCTTTTGTGACTGGGATATTTCACTCAGCATAATGTTCTCCAGAGTCAACCATTTTGAATAATATTGCATGAGTTCCTTGTTTTTTAATGCAGCATAGTATTCCATTGTGCGAATATACCACAGCTTCTCTAGCCATTCGTTTGTTGATGGGCACTTAGGTTGTTTCCAACTCCTTGCTATTGTGAACAAAGCTGCAATAAACATGGGTGTGCATATATCTGCTTGGATGTCAGCTATGGTCTCTTCAGGGTATATTCCCAGTAGTGGAATTGCTGGGTCAAATGCTATCTCTATTTGCAACTTTTTGAGAAAGCGCCATACTGCTTTCCACAGGGGTTGCACCATTTTACACTCCCACCAACAGTGAATCAGGGTTCCAGTTTCTCCACAACCTCGCCAGCATTTGTTGGAGAAGATTTAAGGGCCCGATCTTGACGCCCAACACTGGTTATGGGAGCAACAAGAAGACAAAGCACATGCTGCCCAGTGGCTTCTGCACATTCCTAGTCCACAGTGTCAAGGAGCTGGAGGTGCTGCTGATGTGCAACAAATCTTCCTGTGCTGAGATCGCGCACGATGTTTCCTCCAAGAACCACAAAGCCATTGTGCAAAGAGCAGCCCGGCTGGGCGTTAGCGTCATCAATCCCAATGACAGACTGCGCAGTGAAGAAAATGACCAGAAAGTTTGTTTGCACATTTTATTTGTGCTAAATAAACCATAAAAACTGCCAAAAAAAAAAGGAAAAGAAAATAATATACTTTCCCCTAGTCTGGTAGAGTGTCAATTTTCATTGTGTCAAGAGATTCCCTGGCCCAGGGTATCTCTATACTTCAATAAACTTCCCCCCAATTTGCTTTTATTTAAGCCAACATGATAATATTTCTCTGTGGCATCTTTAAAATGTTAAAAAGGCTGGAAGCAGAAAACTGTTTACGTATGTTTTATAGGTTATGCAAAGGCATTTGACTGTGTGGGTCATAACAAGTTATGACTAACATCCCAGAGCACATAACTGTGCTCATGATGAACCTATACATAGTCAAGAAACAATCATTCATATAGAATAAGGGGTTACTGTGTGGTTTAAAATCAGGAAAGATGTATATCCTTGTACAATCCCTATTCAATCTACATGCTGAGCAAATAATCTTACAAGTTAGATTATGGGAAGACGAATGTGGCATCAGGTTTGAAGGAAGGCTTATCAACAATTTAACAACCTATGATATGCAGATGACACAAACTTGTTTGTTGAAAGTGAGGAAGATATGAAGATGATAACAAAATCCCTTTATCTTTCAATATAGATCACCTCAACATAGGGGAAAAAACATCCTTGCAATAGGACTAATCATCAACATGATAAACAGAGAAAAGTTTGAAATTGTTCTTGATGTCGTTTTACTTAAATCCATAGTCAACACCCATGGAAGCAGCAGTCAAGAAATCAGATGCATTGTGTTAGGCAAACCTGCTGCCAAGGACCCCTGAAGAGACATATTGTCATTTTCAAGACTAAAGTGCACCTGATTCCAGTCACGGCATTTGCAATTGCCTCATAGGAGTGTGAAAGCTGGACAATGAATAAGGAAGGCTAAAGAACAATTAATGCCTTTGACTCACGATGTTGGCAAAGAATATAGAATATACCAGGTTGCCGGAAGAACAAACAAAGCCATCTTTGAAGAAGTTCAGCCCGAACAATCCTTAGCAGTGAGGATGGTTCAGTGACATCTTATCAGGAAAGGCTAGTTCCTGGAGAAGGGCATACATAACCTTTGGTAAAATGGAGTCAGGAAAAATGAAGACACCCCTCCTCCCAGTGAGATAAATTGCCACAGCGACTGTCCCAATGGGCTCAAGCAGAACAGCAATTGTAAACAGGGAGCAGGACTGGGCAGAGATTGTTCATCTGTTGTACACAGGGTCACCATGAGTTGCAACAGACTTGATGGAACCTGAAAACAACCATCTTTACAGGTCTTTTCTGCTGCAGATCAGCTGGGTGGGTTGGAACCACTGACTTGTTGATTAGCAGGCAACCATTTAACCACTGTTGTTGTTGTTGTTGTTGTTATGTGCCGTCGCCACCAGAATTCCTTCACTTTCTACATTGTCATTAGGTGCTATCGAGCCAGTTCTGACTCCATGTCCTATGTCCAATGGAAGCAAACCACAGTCCATCCTAATGTAATGCTTATCGTACCAACAGGTGCTCTCTCATACTGCTTATAGCCAGTGCCTTATTTTCTGTCTTGCAGGAAGATTAAGAATTTGTGAGACTTTGATTTCCCTCTCCTGGGGTAAGTTATTGTGCAGCATTCTTTTGATAGTTACTTTTCTTAAAGAACCTGACAAATTTCACGGTAATGAGCACTTTATTTATTGTCCTTGCCTCTTGCCCATTTCCTGAACATCCCTCCCTGGTCTAGATAAGCTTGTTTGAATTTAAACACAAAAGTTTCCAGCTCTGCAACTGGATGGGAGGCCCCAGCCACCTTGCTGTCTGGGGAGGGGGATTGTGGGTTAAAGACTTCTGAGGAAGACAAACTTGCCACCTCTTCTCAGAGAAGTCATCTGAAGCAAATTCTTCCTGAGGTATCTTTGGTCTGTCCCTTGAATCCCATGCATCAGCTCCCCCCTTAAAGACTCTTCTGCCCTCACTGTTTGACAAGGAACATTAGGAGGGAGTTGGGAAAAAGCTTCCCTCCATGCCCTGCTTTTCAGGGGAGACCTATGGTTTTCCAGTGCACTTGGATGAACATTCCTTTTGTGAGCTCAGGTTAACAGGTGCTTGGGGCCGTATTTTTTTGTCTCTGCCACTTTGTCACACACACAAAAGGTGTATCAGAGCTTAAAATCTCAAGCATTTGGCTTCAGAGAGAAAGGCTGAGCTCTGTGGCAGAGCCCCGTTCCATTTCCGTTTTTGCTACAGGTTCAGATGCCATTGGGGTTCTTTTGACCAGAAACCTGTCACATGACTTTTTGCTTAGGAAGACTTGAGATGAAAGGGGATTACCAGAGATGTGTCTAGGAGGGGCACTTAGTAATACAGGTATTGGACACACAACCTGCAGTCTTGACTAGGCATGTCTTTGATGATTGCTATGAGTCTTGACTCCCACTACCATCTAACTAGGTGTTAGAACCAAGAAACTCAGAACCAATCCTGTAAGCTTATAAATATGAAACTATGTATATATCCCAATCATGGCCTTTAGTTCAATTTGATAGTCTGACCTGGAGTGTTGTTATCTACCACTGAGTCAGAAACAACTCATAGCTGACTCTAGCAAATTTTCAGAAACTATAAATCACACAGGATGAGATTGTTCATCTTTGCTCCCCCAAAGCAGAGAATGGGTTCAAACCACTTGCATTTGAATTGGCAGCAAAACCCCCTATCCTCCAGGCCACCAGAACTCTGGAATAGTACTAGGGCCACAAAATTAAACTTGTCCTGTATGCTACTGGATTTGATCATGTTGTACTCCTTACCCACTTGGATCCTGGAAACACCACTGATGTCCTTAGATTTCTTTTAGATATATCTCCTGTTGCCCTAATTCCAGATAATGAAACAGCAACCTTATTTGCTTAAAATTGTAATGAACCAACTCAATAACTTAAAAGTCAAGCAGACTAATCTTGCCACAGAATTGAGCACTGAGGGTTTGTGGAATTACATTTGAAATAGTAGGTAAAATTCCTCCCCCATTATTTTTTTAATGGTATAGTTAGCTAGTAATGAATTATAATTTCCTAGAGAGCCAATTTTAAGCCATCAGCTGGCAGTGAGAGATGAACAAAGGCTGGTTGACATAGTGAAATTATACCTAGTACATAAACTTATATCAAACACTTCTAATCTGACGAACAATGCAATGAGTGACAGCGAATGCAATAAAACAGAAACCTAGATCAATTATCTTAGAAAGATTGCAGTCAGCAGATAAAAATAGGACTGCGGAGCCTTCTGAATTAACTAGCACGGAGAACATGAATCAGTCTTTCATCTTTTATTATTTCATCCTTTTCCTTTGAAGTAAACTTAAAAATAATCTTTTCGCCAACTCCTCAAAATGAAATATTCACTATATCACTCTTACTCCTTATTAAAAACTGATATTAATGTGCCTTTATACTGAGGACATCAAAGTAACTGTGGCATGTACTTGTATAAACATGAAGAGACTTGAAGTTTATTGCTTTTCTATAGGATAAATGCATAAGCACTTACTGTACATTTACTTCAGTGTGCATTTACCGAACTTTACTTGGATTTGCAGAAAGAACTTTCCTTTTCTATTCCATACATATTGACTCAATGAATTCTGTGCTATTCATTTCCAGTCTTTTGAGATGCTATTATGTGCCATCGGGTCTGAACCTACTCGTGGTTGATCCTTCAGTGGGTTTTCAGAGGCTGTAAATCATGTGGGAGAAGATTGCCCAGCTCACTTATGAAGAGCAGCATGTGGATTTAAACTGCCTGTCTTTGTGTTTGTAGCACACCTTCTTATCCACCAAGCCACATGTTTTATCTTTGTTATTGCCCATCAAGTGTGTTGTTGTTATGTGCTGTCTAGTCCCTTGTGACTCATAGCGACCCTGTGTGCAACAGCTCTGAACCCTGCTCTATCCTGTGCCAACCTTATTGTTTCTGACACATCTATGTCCACCAGGGTCCTCCTCTCTTGCACTGTTCCTCCAACCTCCCAAGCATTATGTCCCTCTCCAAGGACTGGTTCCTCCTTACAACATGTCCAAAATATGTCAGAGGAAGCTTCAGAATCCTTGCCTGGTTTCACCCTCTCCAGGACAAACCTTTTTGTTCTCCTAGCAGTCCATGGTATATTCAACACTCTTCTCCAGCACCACAGGTCAAAGGCGTCAATTCTCTTTCTATCATCTCTAGTCATTGTCCGGCTCTCTGATGCATAGCAAGTGATTGCAAAGACTATAGCCTGAATCAGGCGCACCTTAGTCTCCAGATTGACATCATGGCTTCTCAGTACTCTGGACAATTCCCTGATGACCGACTTTCCCAATGCAATTCATCTTTTGATTTCTGGGCTACTGGTACCAAGAGTGTTGATTGTGGAGCCAAGCAAACTGAAGCTGTTAACAATTTCTTCACCATCTATCTTAATGCTGCAAATCAGCTGAGTGGTGAGAATCTTTGTTTTCTTGATGCTGAACTTCAATCCATATTGAAGGCTGCAGCAAGCGCTTCAGGTCCTCAGTTTCAGCAAGCAAGATTGTGTCATCTGCATAATACAGATTGTTGATGAGGCTTCCTCAGATTCTGACGCCACATTTTCATCCTCCCAGATAATCCGTTCCACATATAGATTGAAAAGATACAGATATAGGACACATCCCTGGCATACACTTTTCCCAATTTTGAACCATGCAGTGTTTCCTTGCTCTGTTCTGATGACTGCCTCCTGGTCCAAATACAGGTTTCACATAAGCACAATCAAGTGTTCTGGGATTCCCATTCTTCTTAGAATCAGCCACAGGTTGTTGTGATCCATACAGTCAAACGATTTTGCATAGTCAAGGAAACACAGATAGGCACTCCTCTGGGACTCTCTGTTTTCAGCCAAGACCCAGCTAACATTAGTTATAATATCCCTAGTACCATGTCTTTCCTAAACCCAGCCTGCACATCTGGTAAGTCTCTGTTGATGGGCTCTTCCAGTCATTTTTGTATGATTTTCAGCAGAATCTTTCTTGCATGTGATATTAATGATATTGTTCAATAATTTTGGCACTCTGTTGGGTCACCTTTCTTTGGAATGGGAGCAAATATCAATCTCTTCCAGTCATTTGGCTAGGTGGTTTCCCTCCAGATTTCTTGGCATAACGTGGTGAGTGCATCCAGGGCAGCATCTATTTGTTGAAATATGTTAATTTGTGTGCCATCAATTCCTTGGGTCTTGTTCTTTGCTAATTCTTTCACAGCAGCTTAAACTTCTTCATTCATCACCGCAGGCCCTTGCTCACGTGTAGAGTCCTGTAATACTTCAACTTTTGACGGGATTACATTTTAGTTATATAATATGACTAAGCACTTATTTAGCATTGTTGTTGTTATGTGCCGTCGAGTCGTTTGTGACTCATAGTGACCCTATATTCTTCCATTTCTCCAGGTCTCTCTTGTTTCTTGTAGTAATGTTTGGTAATTTTGTTTGAATAGATCCTGTGTGTTTCTGGTTCAATTTACTCCCAAGTATTGAATCTTGTCATTAGTTATTGTGATTGGTATTGCTTTTCTTAGCTCCGGCTCTGTATTCTCTTTGTCACTGTAGAGAAATCCAATTTATTTTTGTATGTTGATCTTGTATTCTGCCCCTTTGCTGAATTGGTCAACTATATCCAGTCGTTTTCTTGCTGAGTCATACTGTAAGTAACTTGGAAATTTGTAACCCAATGATTGCCTCTGTGTGCGTGCATAGTTATTTTAATAAGAGTCAAATCAATTTGCAGTGCCAACTGCAATGTATCTGAGTGTCTGTATCTCTTCTGTCCTCAACAGTATTGCATGATTGTGTGTGTTTGTGTGTGTGAAAAGAGGGTTTCCCCCCAATTATGTGGAAAGTTTTACACAACTGTGTTTTATTACATATTAAAACAACCTTGTTTTAATACATTTTAATACTCTTAGTGTGAATGGTCTTCTATGATTGCAAATTGGCTGAATTTCTTTTGTGAAGTATCTGTTTACAACCTGTGCCTTTGATTTTTTTTTTAATTATAGAGGTATTGTCGTGAAAAGTTTGAAAAACGGAGGAAATAAAACCACCCATAATGCCACAATTTCAACACAGCTATTATCATTTTTATTGCCTTCTAGGCTGTTTTCATATGTATGTTTTACCCTTTTGTAATTATAATATCTCTTGCTTTTTGCACTTTATAGTAAGGAAATGAATTAATCCTCAGTGTACCAGAATAAGCAATTCTCCAACAACTTTTAATTGAGAGCTAGGCTTCTGAAATAAACTGTTAAAAGACATTTCCAACAAAGCATTAATTTTTCTTTGAACTCATTGGCTTTATTTAGCAATTCATGAATTGGTCAGAATCTAGTTTGAAAGTCATACTAGAATTCTGAAAGAGAAGTGGAAGAAACTAACACTATGTGTGCAAAGTTGTATACGAACAAGGAAGTTGGTTCTGAACAAAGAGAGGTTCATACCATATTACGGTTCTTACATGGTACATTGGATGCTTTTATAACTAGGTTGTATAGCATAACTGA